TGAGGAATAGGAAACCAAATGAGATGAGATAAAGACCAAATGAATGAGGATAAAAAGAGGAATTAAATAGATAGAAAATATGGAAAGGGGAAATTAGTGTAACGGGGTCGTACTCTCACAGCAGTGGCCCGATTTGTAGGTGTAGCACTACTTCGCCGTACACTGGTAACTTGCTGCCGTCCACCATCGTTGCGGAGAATCCTGAAGGCTTGTACTCTTCCCGTAGTCGGTCGATTACTGCCTTGTTGCAGGCGGTGTGTGATGCTTCGCTGTCCACGAGTGCTTGGAGGCGTCGTCCTTTGCAGATGACCTCGAGCACAAGGGGCAGTCGTTGCTCGGAGTACCCATTGATAGTCTCATTGATTGGGTCATAGGGTACATCCCAATATTCCGTACACACCTTTGTGCTGCTATCTACTCCTGAGCTGGCAGCTGGCCGAGGCTGCTTGGAGAACGGCTCTTCTCCAGGGCCCGGAGTTTCTTTGACGACTGTGCGTGTCACGGATGCCGAAGAACTGGATGCATCCGTAGGAGGAGTTCGGGGTTTGTGCAGCTTCTTGTAGACCCCCAGCTTCCTCTTGAGCTGCTTCAGCTCCACCGACGTCTTCCCTGGGGAACGGGTAGTCGTTGTGGGCTGGTGTCGGGAGAGGACGTTAACTCCGTGGAAAGGTCGGCTTCTTTCCACACTCCTTAATTTGGTCCCCAAGTTTTCCGGTACCGGTATAATCTCCACAGCTGTCTGCTTCTTTTGGAGTCCCTCCCGTAATTTCTCCAAGGCTCTAGCCCCTCGAACATCATAAGTTTTCATTAAAGCATCTTTATAAGATAACTTTAACGAATTCTTATAATTTCTTGGGTCTTCAAGGAGTTTCCCTGTCTCGGCAGAGTCCTTTTTCGCGGAGTCGTTTTTTTCCTCGGCGATTTTCCCTGGCGAAGACTGGTCGTGGGGTGGAGATTTTCCCCCATGATTTCCTCCTCCTTGCGTCGAATCAGCCTCGTCGAAGTTGATTTTCCCGGAATCCCGTGGCCGCTTCCGGATCTTTTTATTTTCGCCAGCTAGATCCGCAATCACTGGCGACTCCCATTTTTTGTCTTCTGATTGGCCGAAGGAATTCCGCCACTGTTGCGTGCCCGATACTCAGCGCGTGCGGTTTTCATTTTGTTGCAGTCAAAGATTCGATGACCCGGCACCCTGCAAAAATCACACGTGTAGTTGGTGTTTTTCGGACATGGCCGCCCCTTGAACCTGTCGACTTCCATTGGGTCGGCGAACGTGGGGTGAGCCGAGCGGTCGCCTTGTCGCGTACTGCCGACGTGCGTCCGTCGTGTCTTGGCGTTGACCATGTCGAATCGCTCCGCTGCCGAAACGACGTCACTATAGCTCGCGTAGTTTGACGCTGCCACTTGTCGTTTGACTTCGGTCTTCAGCCCGGCGAGGTACGACTGTACTTTTTCCCCTTTGGTCAGATCGGGAATTCGGATATAAATTTCCTCCATCTGCTGTGTGTACTGTGCTACACTCCCGAACTGTCGATGATTTTTTTCCCGGGCAAGGAAACTCGAATTTATCGGCTCGAATCGTTTCAGCAGGTCGGCTCGGAACTGCTGCCATGTGGCTTCACCGTGGATGAAGGTACTGTTGCCGCTAATCCACTCGAGTGCCGGCCCTCACATCAGTGTCGCCGCGAGTCGTACGCGTTGACCGTCCCAGACTGGCGAGCTCCATCCGACGGCTGCGAAGTAGATCTCCATCCCGGCGATCCATCTGCGGACGTCGGAGTTTCGATCGCTCGGATAGAACGGCTCAGGTGGGCGCGGTTTCGGAGCCTCAAGAAACCGCTGCGACTGCTACGTCATCGCCATTGTCGAGTCGTGCTGCGCTCCGGCGAGTCGAGTTACTCGCTCGAACTCATTTCGCCATGCTTCGCAATCCGCTGGTATCTCCTCCTGAAGGGCTGCGATGCGCGCGAAGAGCTGCTGGGTAACCTCGGCGTTGTCGAGGGTTGCCATCCTGTTCAAAACATGCGCGGAGGGGGTGATTTGAAAAAACGCGGAGCTGGTGCTTACCAGAATCGGCGTCGAATTGGTCGCCCCCGGCGGTTTTTCGAGGCAGGTTTTCCCACTGCTGCTGCTTTGTTGAGCGCGGCCGAGTGAGAAAGGCTCTGATTACCAAGTGTCACATGATCGAATGACTCGAGGAAAGGTTGCACTATCTATTAGTACAAGGCGCTTTTATACTTCTAGAGTACATCAGGTAACCAGGTTTATCTTATCCTAAGGGAATAGACCCTTCTAGAAGAGAGAATCACCCTGCGTATAGCCACGCGAGGCTATTGGCTTTAAGGGATTACGGGAGGATTACGCCAGATAGCGCACCAGTACATCCCAAGCCTGGTCGGTGATATAATTATAATAGCAGGATAAACCAAAGGTTAATGGAAAATGGAGAATAGGAAAGTAAATGAGATGGGATAAAAAGAGAATTGAAAGAGGAAGGAAATAAGAAAGGGACAAGTGGTGTAACGGGGTCGTACTCTCACAGTTAGTGTCCAGGCGGGGGGATGCGGGCTCCAGGCGATCAATAACCGCAGGTTTGCGGATGTCGAACAGCACTCAGAGATTGCGCGGAGCCAAGCCAATGGACTTGGCGTAGCCGATTAGCATCTCTGTCACCATGCGCGTTTAGTCATTCGAAGGCGCGTTCGCCCACCACGCATCCCGTTGGGCCGGGCCAAGAGGCTCTACCTCAAGCGGATCCACCCCGCTCGGCTCGCTCGTCTCGTTGTCACGCTCGGCGGTGACGAAGCGAGCGGCGGAAATCATATCGCCCAGGCCAAATGGCATGGCGCTCATGATCTGCTGCACCGGCTCGATCTCATGCTCTAGCCGGGGCTCCTGCTCTTCAGAAGTGGCGTCGAGGAGAGGTAGCAGCGGCTGCCAACTGGCGGGTAGCATTCGCGTCCTCCAGAAGCACTTTTAGATGGTAGCGGTATCCAAGCCAAGGCACGAATCCGACACCCAGGTTACCACCTGCCACATCTCAGGCTTCCACTTCAGAATGGCGGCGACGGTGACACCAGGGATCTGCCACTGTGCGAGAACCGCCTGAAGCAACTCCACCTTGTAACGTGCCTTCAGAGCTGTGATGAGGCCCTGGTCCAGAGGCTGAGTGAACGGGGTCGTGTTTGGCGGCAAGTACACGAGGCGCACGTGCGAGAGCGTGCGTGTCCGAAAACCGCAGATGTCGGTTGACGTGGCGAGAGGGGATTGGAGCTGGTGACTCGACGCGTTGTTGAGCATGACGATGATGCGGGGTAGGATCGATGCAGAATGTGTGGTCGGGGAGGAGACTGTAGTAGACGCAGGTCTCGTCGAAGTTGAACAGGTTCTCCGGGGTCACGCCAAGCTGGTCGCACAGCCTCGAGAAATGTAGTTGCGCGGTCAGAGCAGCACCCTCGTTGGCAGACTTCGCCTCGCCGCTCATCTTACGCCACTTGAATCCCATTCGGCGCAATGCTTTCTGAACCCATCCAACAGAAGCTTTGAATTCGCTAGGCACGTTGCATACGGGTGCTAGCAATATCACGCGCTGCTGGATTAGAGCCGTCGAGACTGGCAAGCCAGCACCATTCGTGCTTTTCAGCCAGCTCTTGAGTCGAGCTTCAAGTGAAGGCCAATATGGGTTACGCACCCTTTTTAAGTTGGCGCGTTCGGGCCCGATGGCCCGCCACTTCTATTCTGTTTGCAGAAGTCGGTCGACTGTGCTGCGATCCGGCCACATGCCGTATCTGGTGTGGCACCATCACCCAATGTTTTCAAGCCGCCATGTCGGATTCGTCTTGGCGTACTAGCAGATTGCAACCTTCTGCCTGACGGCGAGAGCAATTCGGCATACAGGTGTCATGTGGACGACCTCGTGGGTGTGGCGGGCTCGTTCCTTGTGTCGTGAAGAGGTCGTTGCTTGGGGCATATAAATAGCCCCGGGGTGTCTGCACTGTTGGCGGGGGGAACGATGTTGGGACCCCTCTGTTGCTTACTTGGCGCGTTCGTATTGGCTGTGGGTGGACGGATTTTCCTGGGGCAACGTCGACGGATTCCGTTGGCATTGCTGGCGTAATTCTACTCTCAACGAGCTGGTCGTATCTAGCGCATCATGTGGATTTTTTCCTCGACATTGATCGACGAGCCTCTAAAAATCCAGGAAAGTTAAAGGTTTGTCTTATATAGCGAATTTCGCACGCTGCCCCATTTTCCCAAGGGTCGCGACGTGGTGGTCCCCTTCACTAGGTTACCCCCACTTTTAAGAAAGCAAGTTCAGGAATCCTGAACTTGATAGCCAACCAATGTAGACTCGGGCTTTAACAGCTTTACGCGTTCGCGTTATTGAGCTTCATGTTACGTCCAAGTTCTCCCTGCGGTGGATTCTCTCCACTGCCGGACGGCGAGCTTTGTTGTGTCATGGTTCCCTCGTGGTTTGTTGCCGTGCTTCGGCTCGAGCCTGACTGAGAGGCTCGGAAAGTGTCGTCAAGTTCGGCGCTAGCTCCCCCCGTCATCCCGCTTCCCGCGCTTTCCTCTCACAGAAGCACATCCCTGCTTTCTCCAACGCCAGCGGCTCGTTCCCCATAACTGCCTATCTGCGCGTGGCTTTGACACAAGGTGCTGTGTGACATTTGGCTCTCAGCGGACTTCCTCATTCGCGCATTCCCCCCTCCCTCGTTTGCGCGCATGCCAGTTGGGCAAACGTGTCTACCTGCCACCTGCGCGCCCCGCATCCACTTTCACGGAGCCGCGCGTTGCTCCGCCATGCCCTCCCCCATTTAGTCTTCTCCCCGCTTCACCTTGTCTCCCCCCTGTTGTGCACCCTCACTACGTCCTCCTCCCCCCTCCGCTCGCTCGTCTTCCCGCTCACCCTCTCGCCTTCCCTCTCTACCACCATGCTGCCTCGTCCCCACGGCAGCAGAAGGCTGCACAACCGCACCACCCAACACCCCAACATCATTCCTACCACCACCGCACCCAACCAACACACCCGCCAACTCTCGCGTCTCACAACCATCACCACCTGCCTTGCCTTCTCCGCTGCCTAAACGTTTAGGTTGACAGCCCCGCCCGATTCGCACTACGTTATTATTCTATGTGAAGGAAGGCCATTAGTAGGCGAACAGGTTTGTCTTCGAAGTTCGCTCTCGATCCGGTCGGCCAATCGGGAACTTCACTTTCCTGATAATCGCACCCATCTACCGCACACTTAGATTCACGTGTAGTCCGTGCTGGGCCTTTCTGTTACCGATGTTCTTACACGCAGTACCCTGGATGTTAGGCGCTATATACTCTTTATGTAGCTCTTCGCGGTTCATTCATTCTGATCCTCGCTAAGTCCTGAAGTACGTTAAGGCATTTCCAAGAGACCGTAGCTAGGCGGAACAGCGTTAGGTGGAGACTCCTCTTGCAGGACAGCTGCCTCATTTTCTGAATTCGCAGCCACCTAAAGCTGTTGGCATCATTTGCCGACGAATCCAACAGTACTTAACGGTGGTAGCAGGCGGTGGAAGCAGGCGGTGGAAGCAGGCGGTGGAAGCAGGCGGTGGAAGCAGGCGGTGGTAGCAGGCGGTGGTAGCAGGCGGTGGAAGCAGGCGGTGGAAGCAGGCGGTGGTAGCAGGCGGTGGTAGCAGGCGGTGGAAGCAGGCGGTGGTAGCAGGCGGTGGTAGCAGGCGGTGGTAGCAGGCGGTGGTAGCAGGCGGTGGTAGCAGGCGGTGGTAGCAGGCGGTGGTAGCAGGCGGTGGTAGCAGGCGGTGGTAGCAGGCGGTGGTAGCAGGCGGTGGTAGTCAGGGTTGGTCCTTCACCCGCATCGCGCTTGGTCCACCAGCTCTGGGTTGGGTCCCTTGGCGCCTCGCCATGGGGTGCGCGTGCTCCCATCCCAGTGCGCTCGACGAGTCTCCGCCCCACAAGCCCGCCGCAGAGAAGCCCCCTCCTCCCCCGCAGCAGCAGAGACCGCCAGCCGCCACTCCGCCTCCCGCCGCCGTCCCCGTGGTCCCCGAGCCCCCTTCCACCAAAGATCCCCCGCCTCCCGCCAAACCAGCGGCTGCGCCGGCCGTAACAGCAGCGGCGGCGGCGGCGGTAGCCGCAGCGCCAGCGGCGGCGAAGGGCAGCTCGCGGCAGAGCGGGCAAGGGGGGGCGGGGGAGGAGGGGGCGGAGCGAGAGCGACGGAGAGAGCGGGAGAAGGAGAAGGAGCGAGAGCGGCCGGCGGATGCAGTAGTACCGGCTGCGGCGGCGTCGGTGGCGCGGCAGGTGGCTCGGAGCCTGGAGGGCGAGCAGGTGGCGGCCGGGTGGCCGTCGTGGCTGGCGTCCGTCGCCAGCGAAGCCATCAAGGGCTGGGTGCCGCGCCGAGCTGATTCCTTCGAAAAACTCGATAAGGTCAGCCGCGGGGGGGCGTTAAAGGGTACAGTAAGGTGAGTGCGCGTGCAGCCATTGCGGGAAGGGGGCGAACATAGTCAGAGTGAAGGCACGACCAGAGGAAGACGGGCTGGTGTGCGACGATTCGAATCGGATGGAAACTGGAAGGGGACGAGAGGTTGGCCTGGTACCGAGAAGAGGAGGGCGACGAGTGCGAAGCAGTCCAAGGGGGGAAAGCAGCCATACGTTGCTGTCGGGACTAGACGCGTTCTAGCTCGGCTCCACCATCTCTTTCGTACTTTGCGCGCGCGTCTCACCTTCCACGACCTTCTCGTCACGGCGATTTTTTATGCAACTGCTCCGCGCCGCTCATAGGTGCTGCAGCGTGTGAGGCGTTGCGGGCGGAAAGATGTCGCACACGGGTAAGCTGTCGCGCGCTGCCGCGCACTTCTACGACGTCGCACACGGCTATTGTTGGTTGGTGGCTATTGCGAGGAGATCATTTCCTCGCCGCAGGGCTGTAGCCGCGTGTGCAATAGACGGCTGCTCCCGCCATCATACACCATGCGGCCTATCCGCTGAATTCCGCGTTGCCCCTTCTCCCAAGGCGCGCCACTTTTATCTCTCATCCCATTGACCCCTCCCCCCTTCCCCCCGTTCGCCACCGCTGCCCCCCTTGCTGCCCCCGTGCGCGCAGATCGGGCAGGGCACGTACAGCAACGTGTACAAGGCGCGCGACCTGGAGAGCGGGCGGCTGGTGGCGCTGAAGAAGGTGCGCTTCGACAACCTGGAGCCCGAGAGCGTGCGGTTCATGGCGCGCGAGATCGAGGTGCTGCGGCGCCTCGACCACCCGAACGTGATCAAGCTGGAGGGACTGGTGACGAGCCGCATGAGCTGCAGCCTCTACCTCGTCTTCGAGTACATGGAGCACGACCTTGCCGGCCTCGCCGCCTGCCCGGGCATCTCCTTCACCGAGGCGCAGGTCAGCGTCGCCGTGCCGCACCCCACTTCCCACTCGCCCTCGCCGCCTCGCCTTGCGTGTTGCTCCGTCGCACTGTCTCGCGTGGGCATGGCCGCCGATGACTGCCATGGCGCATCGCGCCCGCAACGGTTCTCAATCGCCACCCGTGTCTTCCCTGTGCCCCTCCCCTTCTCCCCCCCCCGCCAGGTGAAGTGCTACATGCAGCAGCTGCTGGCGGGGCTGGAGCACTGCCACACGCACGGCGTGCTGCACCGCGACATCAAGGGCAGCAACCTGCTGCTCGACAACACGGGCAGCCTCAAGATCGCCGACTTCGGGCTCGCCACCTTCTACCGCCCCGAGCAGAACGTGCCGCTGACGAGCCGCGTGGTGACGCTGTGGTACCGGCCGCCCGAGCTGCTGCTGGGCGCGACGACGTACGGCGTGGGCGTGGACCTGTGGAGCAGCGGCTGCATCCTCGCCGAGCTGCTCGCCGGCAAACCCATCATGCCCGGCCGCACCGAGGTGAGCGCAGCATGCTGGGTGATAAGAGGCGAGGTGGAACGAGCGGGAAGGGGTAAGCGCGAGGGCGCGCGCAGGTGACAGGTGCGGAGATGCAGGCACGCGGCGCTGAGAGAGCTCCGCACAGGTGGGCGCTTATTGGGCGTGCAATGATGGGAATTGGGAGAGTGAAGAGCCGCAGCCGGATGTGAGGGATGGGTGGTGGGGAGAAGAGGGGTGGAGGTTGGAGGATGGTCCATTGGACGCTTGTGATGCCAAGTTCATCCCCATGCTGCCAAGTTCATCCCCATGCTGCCCCACGCCCAGCGTCTCCCCTTGTCCTCGTGCCCACGGTCTAAGCTCCTCATCTACGCCTCATTTCCTATCCCTTCTCCCTTGTTGGCCCTTACCGGACGCCCCTTATGCTCACGTCAATTCCTCGTCCTGTATCCCCACACCCCCCGTCCTCTCCCCCCCCCCTGGGCGTGGCAGGTGGAGCAGCTGCACAAGATATTCAAGCTGTGCGGGTCGCCCAGCGAGGAGTACTGGCGGCGGTCCAAGCTGCCGCACGCGACCATCTTCAAGCCCACGCAGCCGTACAAGCGGTCGCTGCGGGACCTCTTCAAGGACTTCCCCGCCACCGCGCTCAACCTGCTCGACGTCCTGCTCTCCATCGAACCCGCCGATCGCGGCTCCGCCACCTCGGCACTCGCGCACGAGGTGAGGCACGGGCGCTCTCCGTGGCAGGGGGGCAGCTGCTTCATGCCGGCTCAAGGAGCCGCTGTTCCGTGCCCTGCTTAAATCCCCCCCATGCCTGTGTGTGCTCCTGCCACCCCTGCTTACATCCTCCCTTCTCCCATGCGTCCATACCTGTTGCCCTCGCGTTCCCCCCTCGCCCGCCCATCCGTCTCTGGTTGACCATGCGTTGCCCCCCCTCCCGTGGGCGGTGCGTCCGTTGCGTCCCTGCGGTTCCCCCTTTCCCCTGCGCGTGCCTCGACCACCCACCCGCATCCTCCGTCTCCTCCCCTCCCCCCCTCTCTCTCAGTTCTTCACAACGAAGCCGTTCCCGTGCGACCCGGCCAGTCTACCTCAGTACCCGCCCAGCAAGGAGTACGACGCCAAGCTCCGCGACGAGGAGGCCCGCAGGTCATCCCACCCCTCCCCTCGCCCGCCCCTCGCCCGCCCCCCACTGCCGGCCCCTCGCTGCCCGCGTCTCACTGCACGCACCCTTCTTGCCTGCTCTGTTCGTCCACCTCCTGCACACATTCCGCCCTCTTGGGCCCTTGTGCTGACCTGCCCCCATCACCCACGCTGCCTGTCTCACAGCCCACCTTGCTCCTCTCGCTGTGTCCCCCGCAGGCTGCACTTGCCTGCATCCCTCCCCCCCCTCGCCCGCGCATGAGTGCCACTGCCGTGCCGCCTGTTCCATGCACAGCCACACATCCCTCCGTGCACGCTTCACCCACTGCCTTTGTGCGCGCTCTCCTCTCACGCTCTCTGACTCACTGCCTCTTGGCGTTCCTCCCTCTCGCGCTGCTTGCTTCCTTCCCTCGTCTGTGGCAGGCAGAGGGCGGCAGGGGCGCGGGCAGGCAAGGTGCTAGACAGCAGCGCCAGCACCAAGCAGCTGGCGCAGGGGCAGGGCGGGCCGGGCGGGCAGCGCAGCAGCACGTCACAGGCGGTGTCGCAGCAGCAGGCGCAGGCGCAGCAGGCGAGCCAGCAGCGGTCCAGCAGAGCGGTGCCGGCGCCCCATGCCAATGCGGAGCTGGTGGAGTCCATCAACATGCAGGTCAGCGCCTGCCCGCTGCTCGCAGCTGCTTCACTCCGCTGCTGGGCTCGTGTGCCCAGCCTCACCAACCTTCTCGTCTCCCTCCATCCGCCCCTCCCCCCTCTCCCCCCCCCAGAAGCAGCAGCAGGGCAAGGCGGCGATCGCCAAGAGCAAGAGTGAGAAGTTCATCAGCCCGTCGGAGATGGCGCTGGCAGCGGGCCTGCAGGGGCTGGGGCCGCAGCTGATGGCGGCGGGCAAGGCCGTCGACACGCCCGACGGGCTCAAGGCGCTCAAGCCCGCCGACGCCGCCGACAAGCTCAGGGGCACCGCGGCGGGCGGCAAGAGCATGTCCGCCACCACCTCGTGGGTGCAGGGGCCCTCCTACTCCAGCGCCGGGGGCGCTGCCGGGGGGGGCGGAGGGGCGGGGGTCAGTGGGCGCAACGTGAGTGGGGAGGTGGGGATGGGGGAGAGCAAGGGGGGCGGGTTGGTGCGGACAGGTAGTGGTGGGAGGAGCAAAGGGGGGGCGGGGGGCATGAACGCCATGAGCCACGAGCTGTCTGCGGCGGCTGTGGCAGCTGCCGCTGGTGTGGCGGGTGTGGGTGGTGGTGCTGGGTCGGGCACAGGCGGGTCCAAGGACTTTTCCACCAGCTCGTCGCGTGACCTGACCGAATCAAGAGACGCTGCTCTGAGGAAAGTGCGGGAGAGGGAGAGGGAGCGCGAGAGGGAGAAAGAGGAGAGGGAGAAGAGGGAGCGCGAGAGGGAACGGGAGCGGGAGAAGCGGGAGTCGCGGTCGTCGGATTTGAGATTGCACCCGATGCACAACCAGATGGTGCAGCAGCTGCACTCGCAGCAGCAGCAACAAGGAGGGCAACAGCAGCACCGGCCCAGCAGCGAGCATGGCTCTCGTGTATGTGTCCGCATTCCTTACCCGTGCATGTCTTTTCTTTTGCTTGTGCTGCTCCATTCTCTGTCGCACTAGTGATGTGGGCCTGTGAGAGCATGGGAGCACGAGAGCACGAGAGCACGAGAGCACGAGAGCACGAGAGCACGAGAGCACGAGAGCACGAGAGCACGAGAGCACGAGAGCACGAGAGCACGAGAGCACGAGAGCACGAGAGCACGAGAGCACGAGAGCACGAGAGCACGAGAGCACGAGAGCACGAGAGCACGAGAGCACGAGAGCATGAGAGCATGAGAGCATGGGAGCATGAGAGGGCCTGTGTTGCGGTGCTTGCTCTGCTTATGTGCTCAAAGCACCTGCTGGTTGTGATTCATAATGGCCGTGCCGCCTCAACAGCATTTCTGCACCCTGCCCTGTCCTGTCCCTGCACGGCCTCTGTTCGCCCCTCACCCCCTTGCCCTTGGCCCACTGACCCCTCTGTGTTCCCCCCTCTGCTGTGTCTCTAGGGCGCTGCTCTCAACAGCAGCAGCACCAAGGGCCGCCTGCCCAAGACGCGGTCAGGGGAGTTGTCGCGACAGCCCGGTAAATCCGAGGGTAAATCACGCAACAACTCCATCAACGACAAGCAGCGCCGTGAGATTGAGGCTCTCTTTGCGTCGGCCTCCATCTCAGGCGTTCTGCCAGGGGTTCTGGGGGGAGGGTCGGGGGAGGGGGAGCGGGGGCGGGATAAGAGTAGGGAGCGGGAGCAGCGGCCAAGCAGCAGCGGGGGGCACGGGGGCGGCGGCAGCGGGCCGATGCGGCTGTCGAATCGCAAGGCGGGGGGCATGTCGCAAGCGGAGAAGAGCAAGGTGGACCAGAAGACGTGGATGCTCATGGGCGCTGCAGGCGAGCTGCCCCCGGGTGTGGCGGCCGCGCTGGCGGCAACGCGGGGCGAGGGGCAGAGCCACAGCCTCAATGCCGTCGCCAGCACCAGCAGCCTGGAGCGGGGGGGAGGGGGAGGTGGAGGGGGATGGGCGGGGGGAGGGGGAGGAGGAGGGGGCGACGACCGCACGGTGGTGCGCAGCAACAGCAGTGGGGGCGGGGGGCGGGGAGCGGTGGAGGTGAGTCCGCGGGGGCGGCCCGTGTCCACCTTTGCCGTGGAGTTCAGCCCCCGGCGGGGCAGCCCCAGGCGTGCCGGCAGCGGCGGTGGGGGCGGCGGTGGGGGCGGGGGCATGCGGAGCGCAGCGGCGGAGGGCAGTCCACGGCGGCGATGGTCGCCCATGCGGGACGCAGCGTCTCCACGCGCGCGAGTCAAGCGCAGCGTGGTGGGCGTGTCACCCTCCCGAGGGGGGGGCAGCAGCAGCGCAGGGGCGGGTGGGGGGGTGGTGGCGGGTGTGGGGAGTGGAGGGGTAAGTGGCAGTGGCAGTGGGCACCGGAGACGGCCGTCGGGAGGGAGTGCGGGTGGGGGAGGGGGAGGGGTGGAGTCTCAGCATGGGAGTGGAGAGCCGGGAGTTGTGCGCGCAGCCGTGGGCACAGCCGCGTCATAGTGCCGCATCCCGCATCCCTGGCGGGTCACAGCAGTAGATTATTAGGCTCGAGAGTTCCCCTTCTCTCTCCCTGTCTCTCGCCCCTGGCACTTTCTCCCCACGGTGCACGCCTCGCCAACCCCCATTGGTGGAACATGTTGACGCGCTGTGAAGCAACACACTGCTGCCTCCCAGTGGACCCATGCCCCGCACCACGCAGTTGCTCCGTGGGGGAGCTGTAGGCAGGCCAGAACGCCCCCCACGCATGATGAGGATGCGGATCACCTCACCACCACTTGTTCTATACAAGCTAGGGGCGCCAGGTGGCAATATAGCTGCAATTAGGGCTTACTCATGAGTTGCCGCTTCATTATTATTGGTAGGTTTGAGTACTGGGTTGCAATTCTTTGTTCGTACCTTGTCGCTAACCATTTTCCATATAAAATAAGGGATAGCATAGATGCATGTCAGAATGTAATCGCACGAAGTTGCTCAACCACTGCAAATGCGAGCCACAACTCAGATGCTGAGATTGAACCGGGCCCGTAGTTATCAGGCTTTTTATGCTGATTTTGCTTTTTCTCTGGGCCTTCTCTTGTACCGACCATGATGAATCAGCCTTGAAAGTGAAAGAACCAGGGCCATCCAGTAAGAAAACCACTGCCAAAAACTGATTTTCAGGGTGTTTTTTGAGATTGACACTGATCAATCAGCGTGGCCTAAAACGAATCTGAGGGCCTGGATTGAACCCCTCTGAAGCGCAATTCCAACCTTCCATTGCACCGGACAGTCCTGCATGAGTCTGATCCGGATCCCTGTTCATAGGAGTTTGCCCTAACATTCGTGTTCCCCAGTGCCGTAGCAGAAGTCACAGATAAAAAAGGCAGTCCACGCTGTGTGAGCAACGGCTTCAAGGCGGGCGCACGACGAGGTGGTCAAAGTGAGCAGCGCCGGGCGAGGAGCCGTGGAAGAGGTGCGGGCGATGGCCCGTGGCCGTGGCAAAGCGCGCACACACGTCCTCCACAGCGGCCTGGGCGGCAGGCGTGCTGTCCCCCAGCACACACACGGTGCCGCCACTGCCACCCCCCGTGATCTTGGCGCCCCACAGCGGCCCCTGCATGCACCGCAAGGTCATGGTGCAAGTGGCAAGCAGTTGCAGGGCACACGGCATGGACGGCCTGGAGTCAGCCGCAAGATGGGAAGACCCGGTGGCTCTCTAGTGAACCTGCTACCATGTGCATGGCTCACCTGCTACCATGTGCGTGGCTCACCTGCCACCATGTGCGTGGCTCACCTGCTACCATGTGCATGGCTCACCTGCTACCATGTGCATGGCTCACCTGCAACCATGTGCATGGCTCACCTGCTACCATGTGCATGGCTCACCTGCTACCATGTGCATGGCTCACCTGCTACCATGTGCATGGCTCACCTGCTACCATGTGCGTGGCTCACCTGCTAGCATGTGCGTGGCTCACCTGCCACCATGTGCATGGCTCACCTGCTACCATGTGCATGGCTCACCTCCTACCATGTGCGTGGCTCACCTGCTAGCATGTGCGTGACTCACCTGCTAGCATGTGCGTGACTCACCTGCTACCATGTGCATGGCTCACCTGCGGCCCCATGTGTGTCTTCACGAGGTCAATTATGAGGTCGGTGGGAGCCGACCCCAGCCCGCACGCCGTGTAGCTCGCATGGCTCTGCATGCACACCACGTGGGAGTGGCAGGGAAACAAGAGGCGAGAACAGTGGGGCGGCAAGGGGGGGAAGGGGGGAGGTGTGTGGGACGAGAGGGGTGGATGGAGAAGGGGAGGACAGAGGCCACAGCGTGAAGCCCGCCACACGCAGAGCAGCGAATCTCAGAGCGAAGAGCGGACCGCAGCAAGCAGGGAAGACAGAAGAGAGAGTGGAACGATCAGCAAGTGTGGGCGCATAGCGACCGAGTGGTGGGGTGGGTGCAGCGCAAATCATGTTGGTGGCAGTGGTGAAGCATGAGGGTTGGATGGTACCTGCATCATCAGCTCTCCCAGCACTGCCATCTGCTCCCGCCTCCCTCCCCCCCCCCACCCCCTCCACCCCCATCCAGCCCCCCATCCCCTTCCCCCGCTTCCATCCCTCTTTCTCCTCCCTCTCCCCCCTCCTCCCGCCCCCCTCCCACATCCCCCCCCAGCAGAGCGCGGAAGCAGCGCACGCGGAAGTGCTCATGCACGGGGTGGCGGGTGGCAGCGAGCACAGGGTACGGCAGCGCGGGCGAGATGGCGGTGGCACGGTCACCGTGTGACGAGTGGCGGGCGAGGAAGGCCGCACCGAGCATGGCGGGCGGCAGCAGAGGCTCCACGCCAGGCAGGCTGGGTTGGGAAGGGTTGGGGAGAGGCGGGGATGCAGGGATGGGGTGGGGGGGAGAGGGGGAGAATGAAGGAGAGAGGAGGGAGGGGGAGGGAGTGAGACAGTGGCAGATTATGCAGTGGCATGTCGCAGGAGCGGTGTGGAGCACCTGAGCAATCACTTGAGCAAGAACCTGAAAAGTCGCCACCGAAGTAACCTGATGCATGACCTGGCGTGTCACCTGAAGGGTGACCTGGCATATCACCTATGCGGGTCCAGCTCGCATAGGCAGGAGAGCTTGCTAGTGGCGCTGGATGCGGCATGACGAGGCGGTGCAGCGGGGATCACCTGATGGGACGGGGGATTGCAACAAGCGAGACACAAGGTTACACGCCACGACGCACGGACGCACCATCAAACACACACAGGTACTTTGTACACTTGCATGCATGGGCATTCGTGGCCAAGAAAGGAGCAGTGGCAAGGAGCAGTGGCAAGGAGCAGTGGCAAGGAGCAGTGGCAAGGAGCAGTGGCAAGGAGCAGTGGCAAGGAGCAGTGCTTATGATGAAGGGGTGGCATGCGCCAACGAGTGGCCACACACTTGCACTCACTCCATCGACGTCCTTGCTGCTCGCCTCCCGCCCCGCGTTGACAAGCGTGAGCCCCATGAAAGCCGCCGCCCTCACCGCGCCGTACCCCACGCCCCCCACGCAGTGCCGCGCCCCCGAGTCGATGCCCCAAAGCGCCACGTGCGCGGCCAGCGGCAGGCAGCCCTGCATGCGCGCGGGGCGGCACAGCAGCGCGAGCAGCGAGGCGGGGCGCGCGAGGGCTGCAGCCATCTGGTCCATGATGCCGCACGGCGCGCCCACCACGCTGTTCTCCACCTGGGGGGGGGAGGGGGGGGATGGCGGAGAGGGCGGAGGGGATAGGTGAGTGGGTGTGAGGCAGGGGGAACGGAGATAAAAAGGGGCGTCTGATGGGTGGTCGAATAGAGCGAGCAGGAATGCAGGGGAGGAGTTAGGGGAGTGAGTGGCGCGAGCACGCTGGTATGTGTGGACGAGGGCTGAAGAGGCGCGGCGAGAATGAGGAGGCGAAAGACGTGAGTGTGCGAAGGGAGGGCCGGAGGCGAGGAAGAGCGTGCGGAACGCAGGAAGTGGTGGTCGCGTGGTGGCACAGCGGAAACAGCAGGGCGCCACGAGGGACAGCACGGTGGCAATGCAGGGCTGGCTGCACAAGGCAATGAGGTAAGGCACCGACTCGCATTGATGGCCCATCAGCACCCATCCCCCCGTGCTGGAGTCATTTCTGACAACTATAAGAAGCGTACAATCTGGCACATCCTGGCGACATCCCAGGGGTTGATGCTCAAGCGGAGCGCGTTGACGAGCGCCATCATGGCCGCCACCTCCACCGCCGCTGACGACGCCACGCCCACGCCCTCGGGCACCGCTGACGCCACCAGCATTGCCACCCCCGCCACGCTGCCCTCCTCTCGCCCTCCCCCCATCCACGCCTGCCTCAGCTCCGCCTCTCTCTCCCTCGCCAGCACCACCAGCGCCCCCGCCACATACGCCGCCCACCGCGCATCCCCCATCCCGCCTTCTGGCCCCTGCTCCCCTCCCCCCTCTCTCGCATCGTTCCCTGCGCCCTCCCCTCCCCCTTGCCCCCGTGGCTCTCGTGACCGCTCGGCCACTGCCCCTTCCCGCCCCCCTCTCCCCGCTGCTCCCCCTGCCAGCAGCACGTGAGCGGCTTCGTAGTCAATGGCGCAGGGGGAGGCGCGGGTGGGCGACATGGGGGGAGAGGCGTGGAGGCCGGGGAGGAGGCGCGCGAGGGGCAGGGAGACGGAGGGAAGGCGGTGATTGGCCGACGCAGAGAGGGAGACGATGCGGAGCGAGGGGGGGGAGGGAGAGGGGGCGGAGGAGGAGGGGGGAGAGAGAGGGTGGTGAGGCGGTGGTGCACGGGTGATTTGAATGGCGACGTGGCATGCCTCTGCTATGGGCATCTGTTGTGCGCAGCAAGGCATGGCATGAGGAGGGGAGAAGGGAAGGTAAGGGCGATGAGGTGAAGGGATGAGCAAGCCCGGTGTGCCGGGTGCAACATGGTGAAGGGAGCCCAAACACCTGACGCGTAACCAAAACACCTGACGTATGCCCGAAACATCTGAAGCATTTTCGAAACACCTGGAGCACCTGAGGTCCACCTGGAGCACGAGTGAGCCCGAGTAGTCGGCGATGCCGCCCATAACATCCAGGCGGCCCGGCGCTCTGGTTACCAGCAGCGGCTGCGACCAATCAAAGAGCGCGGCTGCCAGCGACAGCTCGTGGCGCTCGCTGTAGTCACACGCCGTGGCGTCGGTGGGCGGGGGGACTGGGCGGAGTGGGTGTGGGGGGAGAGAGGGGGAGGGCGGAGAGAGCGCGTGGGGAGGCCAGGGATGGAGTCACATGTGGTGCTGCGAGGGGGGAGGGAGGACGGGCCGTGGAAGGCCAAGTCCTCACGGCCTCCACTGCCAGCAGCGGCGTTGTTTAGAGCGCGTCTTTCCTCTATCCCCCCCCCTCTCAACGCCAGCGTCGCGGCCCCCCACGTACCGCCGGCTCGCAGCGTCTCCAGCAGCGCCAGGAAGCGCTTCGTGTCGGGAAGGCCGCGGTCGCCGCCCTCCACGCGCATCGCGCCGCCCTCCACGCGTATCGCGGCGCTGCTCGGCATTCCCGAGGGGCGTTTGGGAGGGTGGATGGAGGCCGTTGGGGGCTGCCAACGCGACTCACATGCACCTGCGCCCAGCACTTGGCCGTTGGCGAATGGCGGTGGCTCGATGATAGGCGGCAGGTGCAGTGGCTCGCGCAATCGCTGTTTCTAGAGCTCTTCTGCGCGCGGTTGCTCGCATTCGACGAGGGTGTACACACGCAGCGCGCATCGTCCGTGTCGAACGAATTGTACAAGATCACGGTCTCGGGATTGGAGAGTATTATTGCGCCACACTGTATTGCATGCATAATTATTTTCGTATCACTGTATTATTTGCATGCCCTTTTCGCGGCCCATAATTATCATCATCGCGCAGCTGCTCGCGCGGCGGCCCTTATTGCCAATTTCGGACTACTGGTGTTATCCTGACTGTCTCAGTGAGTTTTGTCCTGAAATTTTGTGTTGGGGCATCTCATTTTGGGGGGGCGCTGGCAAGTGGGGTGACCGCTGTCAAAATATATTTTCCGTGCCTGTTCTCCCATATAATAACACGTTGGAATTGCGTGCTGACCAATAAGATGCATGTTCTCCCATATCCCAGGTTCTCGGAAGCGGGAACTCGGTTCAGGTAACCCTTACTAACGTATTACTCTCTGGGATCACGTTTTGCCCCTATTACGGAAAACTTTTTCGCCGTTCAAACCCCCTGGGGGCAGTTTTTTGTTCTCTGAGGTTAGCTCGCTCCACAGCGAACCACGTGTAACAATCGCCTCAATCTTAGGCAGAGGGCAGAAACAATAAAACCCTTAGGGGCCAGGCATGCCATTCTGGATGGCATCAACCCTAAACTCGCAAAAGGGCCGCGAATTTAGGGTTGATGCCATCCAGAGTGGCATACTCGCCCCTAAGGGTTTTTGTTTTTTCCTTGCCCGAATGTTGTCGTCATTTTCAGTAGCGCTACAGATCCCACAATATTGCAGGAAACATAGAGTTCAGTAGCCCCACAGTGACGGAGCAAGGAGATTCTGACGCGTGATTTTCTGTGGTGCGAACTAACCTCAAAGAACACAAAACTGGCCCGGAGGGATTGGAACAGCAAGAAACCCTTCTGTTTAAGGGACAAATGTTACTCAAAAGAGTAAAATGCCAGGAAGGGTTACCGCTAACCTAAAAACCCAAAACCCTCGGATCAGATTTCCCGCTCAATTCCTAAACCTGAGCATGCCGAAGCTGTGCAAACCGATTATCACACGTGTGATTTGTGAAACTGGCGAACAGTGCGTGGTATAACCTGACCGCAAAATGGAAACGAACTGACCGGCCGTGATAATCAAAATGACGTCCGAAATTGGCCATACGGGCCGCCGCGCGAGCGGCTGCGTGATGATGATAATTATGGGCCGCGAAAAGGGCATGCAAATAATACAGTGATACGAAAATAATTATGCATGCAATACAGCGTGGCGCAATAATACTCTCTCGGGTTTTGGGACCCACTTGGCAAGAGATTTGGATGCAGCAAACTCGGGGTCAGTTCTGGCTTGGGGGGAGCTTCGGCAATTTCAAACCCCATTGGCTCGGAGCTCTGACATGTCAGCGGCAACTCACAAACCACCTCCTTGTTCATCCCGTGCATCCTCGTGTAACTTCCCACGCCCTCTCATACCGATCTCAACCTTTGGAAATGTAACGAGGCAGCGGTGGTTCGTATTGGCTGGTGCCATGCACGTGTGCTGTGCGGCATGCGGGATTCCTTCCAACAAGCAGCGGGAATTCAGCAGCACAGTCAGCCACCTCACTTTGACCCATACGCAGCAGTTTCGATGCGCTGCGTTACCTGCACCTTAGAGCATGGCATTCGACGTTCGATTTAGGATTCCAGCTGGCTTGACTCACCGCGTACAGTATCAGGTAGCGACAGAAGCAATTTGTGCTTACACGACGACCGTTCTGACAGCGAGGCATTTATACCGCTGGTTCACGAGGACGTTCGCGTCGCTGTGTCCCCGAGGGAGCCGCTTAGATGGGTCTTCAACGGATAGCTCCAGCCCCATCTGCCGCACTGCTGCTTGCCGTGCGAGTCACGGCGTCAGCAGGGACCCGAAGATGACAAGGAGAATAAAGTCGCCAGCAGGACGCAGCAGATTCGATTCGTGCTTCTTCAACGCGCAGCGTACCTGGCGCCCGACTCGACGGTGGAGCAAGCTAACCTTGCAGATGCTTCGGGCGTGATGGACCTTCCCGTGCAAGCTGCGCCGGCGGCTGGCATCGCACCCTGGGGCCGCACTCACCACTCTTCCTTCTGTGCCCACGATTGCTCCGAAATAGCCCGAGCGAGATTACAAGCCGTAGCCACGACGAGAAGGCATTTTGTTGGGAAAGGTACGAGTCATTCGCCGCAGAGGAGAGGGAAACCATGGCTGGCACGCAGGGGGGGCAGACGCAAGGATCGGGGAAGGTTCCTTTGCTATCCCGCGTGGAGATGGTGCACTATCCGGCCGTGGGAGGCACCGTGGGCGGCGACGGCGAGGGCTGCCAGTGGCACATGCTGGCGCGCGACCGCTGCTTCCTCCGCGCCGTCACCTACCGCGCCCACTGCGCGCTCGAGCACATGACCCTAGGCGACTTGCGCGAGTACCGAGACTCCCACCACCTGGACTCCCACCACCTGGACTCCCACCACCTGGACTCCCACCACCTGGACTCCCACCACCTGGACTCCCACCACCTGGACTCGGTGCCTCCTGTGGCGCTGAACCAGCGGGTCACGGCGATGCTTGCGCTTTCGTGCGAGATGGGCGTGCCGCCGATGAGCTTGGAGGGGGAGGGCGTGCCGCCAATGGTAGCAGGGGTGATGAGGTTGGTGGCAGCAGCAACGCGGAAGGCCAAGACATTCCCGAGGGCATGCACATGAGTGGCGTGAGAGCCACTGACTTTGCCCTTGCTGTCGCCACGGTGTTCTCTCGACCAGAGTACGGCAAAGCGTCTCACGTGCACACCATTGACTCGACCGATGGGAGCAGGGCGAGGATGGAGGGTGCGGCCATTGAGGACGCCAGACACAGCCTGAGAAGGGCGACGCGGGAAAGGGGAGGGCTTACAAGGCGGTGGGCGGGGGAGGTGGTTTTTGAGTCGACTCAAAAATCACCTCTGGGCGGGGGAGGCAGAGCAGGTGGAGGAGGAGAAGCAGCAGCTGCAGCTACAGCAGCGGAATGGCCACCAAGATGAGCAGCACCTGAAATCCATTTGTTCGAGCAGTGCGTCTTTTGAGCCGTCCGGCATGAGATGTGTTTCTCAGCCTGAGCTCCAGCGCATCAACATCAGCCCTGTTCTCGCACTCTTCACGTACCGAGTCGGGCGCATCTTGCAGTGGCTTTGAATCAACGGCTCAGATTTCATCTTGGCAAAGAGAAGCTTCAAGGACAGTCCAGAGGGCAAGGTCCTCTCGATGCGCCATCCGCTTGGGGACCTTCCGAGCCTGCTGGTCATGTTTGGCGCCATCCCCAAGCCTTTGGATGAAAGCAGCTGTGCCTTGGGGTGGGATGAGTGGCCGCAGGTGAGGCGTCTTCTGACCCGAGTGCAGCGTTCTTCCACGCAGGTGTTTGGAGAGGAGTGGGGTGATGAAGGCCGGTCTGCAGAGACTATCTGACCAGCCAACAATCACGGGACAGAAGAGCAATGCTGTAAAAGGCGGTGGAGGGAAGGGCGGGGGTAGGAGGTGGGGGAAGAACAGAGGGAGGGGAGAGCGAGAGGGGGGAAGTTTGACTGGGGCGCCCACAGCAGCGCTGGCAGCACCCTGCAACAGGAAGCCCCCCATCGTTCGCCCCGTGGCCGATGTGGACTGCTTGCTGAAAGCCGTCGATCACATTCTGGACCTGCCGGCATGCTGGCGCTGCGCCAACTGCTTCCACGCCCTCACCTTCCACATGTACCTGCTCTCTGCCCTCGCCACCTTCGCCCACCGCCCTGCCAGCGACCTTTTCAGCGCCCCAGGGTTGACTAAGCGCTGCATGGGACGCACGAATAAGGCAGCTGAGGATGGCAGCGGCAGGAAGGATCGGTCAGCAAGAGCCGGTCAGGTGACAAGTAGTGCATGGTGGACGGCTCGGAAGCAGAGGTTGCAGGGAGTGTTGCGAGAGATAGATGGGCGTGCCACCCGTTGTCACAGCAGCACACGTGGCAGCAGCAGCAACAGCAGTGGCAGACGCAGGAGTTGCAATGACAGAAGCCGTGGCAGCCACTCCTGCTACAGCAGCTCGAGCATCAGCAGCACCAGCAGCAGCAGTGAGTGCTGTAGCAGTTATGGCAGGGAGGGGAAGGGCAAGGAGGAGGAACTGTCGGCTTACTTGAAGCCATGGCTGGGGGGGGTAATAAGGTGGCATGTCTGCGAGAGATGCTGCTGGGGCAGCCATGCTACCGCCCTCCCTCTCACACGGCCTCTATCCCCCCTGCTGTAGGTAGCGAACGTCCTGCGCCCAAGGCTGCTGCGGTACCTAGTGCTGCTGCGCGCCCAAGGCAAGATGCAGCACCGGGCATTCAAGCAGGTGCTGCAGCCGACGCTGCAGCACAAGTGCTGATGGCACAGAAGCCCACACGCTGTGGCTGCAGCAGAAGCTGCTCCTGTCATGCCACCGCACACAGGCTGTGCGTGCTGCGCTGGGGCCTGTGGGAGGGCTGAACGCGCCCCTGTGAAGCGGGGGATCTGCGGCGCGTGTGGCAAGGCAGCGTATTGCAGCACAGACTGCCAAGGGCGCACTGACCCTCCCACAAGCTCGCATGCTGACCAAAGCCCCAGCAGCAAGGTGAATCCGTTTCATTACAATTATGGCTGTTTCAAGCACCTATTGTTGGGACATTAGCTTGCGCGGCTGCTCTTGGGACATGTCATGTGCCCCCTGCTTGGATTTTCCTGTGTGGGCATTTGTCTTGCGTCGCAGCTGTTGGCGTCGGAAAATGACTCATGGCTCAGGCAGTTCCACGCATGTCATGTTATGACATCCATCCCCCCCCGCCCCCTCTCCTCCTGTGCACTTTCCGTGTGTAATGAGTCGATTTTTTAGTCGACTAAGAAATCGACTCATTACACACTAAAAAAATTAGAGTCGACTCAAAAATCGACTCATTACACACCCATGTTATGACATCCATCCCCCCCCGCCCCCTCTCCTCCTGTGCACTCTCCTTCCCCTGCCTTTCCTCGCAATTCTCTCCCCTTCTTGCACTCGCCCCCACTCTCCTGGTTCATGCAAGGCAGAGATGAGCAGCCAGCTGCCACCTTTCCACCCATTCCATTCGCCACATCGTAGCTCCACCATTCATTGATCGAGTCTAGTTAACCGTGAGTCAGCAGTGTGTCAAGGGCTGTGGCAGCTGCGGGCTGACTGCAGGGAAGGAGCGTCCGTCGGGGCGACAGATGGACGCCTTCCACCTTGGCTGCATGGATGCTCTAGGCTCATTTGGAGTGTCTGAAACGCTGCCTGCCAACTTAAGTACGGTACTAACAGTTTGTGCTCTTCCATTCGGCATGCACAGGACGTGCAATGCAGACGACTGCATGCATAGAGCTACGAAGCACGGTGCCATGCACTTGCCCCATCACCCGTGTCTACAGTTCAGCTCATCCGTCTCCACTTCCAATATTCCTCTACTCCTCTCCACAGGGCCGAAAAAGCCAGAACCTCCCCAGGCCATCTGCTGGACTCAAAGTTTCTGCAACGCTCTCTTGGCTCGCTGTAGTCGAGATGAAGTGATCTCATTCGCACACGTGCCTGTACTTGTCGGCCAAACTCCATGGGGCGCTATCAACCACTGCACTCTGTTCTAACAACCTCGTTTGAAGCACATGAGAAGGAAGGGCTGCAGAGGCACGAGATGGCGAAGGGGAGGAGCACATGAGGGGTGTGCTGCCCACTGCCCAGCCGGCTGCTCTACATGGTACACTGGTGTCAGAGGCTATCATCAGATTCAAGGGATGAGTTGCTCTGCTGCTTCTTGCGCTGCCGCTCCTTCTCCTTGTGCCGTCTTTCCTTCTCCTTCCTCTTCTTCTCCACTCGCTTCCGCTTCTCCTCCTCCCGTTTTCTTTTGGCCTCCTCTTTCTGCCTCTCCTTTTCCTTCCTCGCCTTCTCCTTCTCCTTGTCATCAGCACCACCATCGTCACCCTCCCCACCGTCACTGCTGCTACTGCTCGTGTTCTCGCTGAGCCCCATCAGCCGCTGCATCCTCACCACCACGCGACACCACCACTTGCCTCGGTCGCACGACAGCATCTGCACCCTCCCGCCATCCCCCCCACTGGCCTGCTGCACGAGGAAGTAGCTCACAGCCGTGCGCACGAAGACGCCTGCTTCGTGCTGCTGCAGCGAGTTCACGAATGGCTCGAGGGCAGAGGGCGCCATGGGTGCAGGGCTGATGGCGGCGGCGATGGCCAGCATGTCGCGCTGCAGGGCGGACAGCGGCTGCGACGCATTGAACGTGTATGCCAGGGGGGCGCTGCTGATGGACGCCACGGCGGGCAGGGTCCCTGAAGCAACACCAGCGCCCAGCACAGCAATGAGCACAGCGATGAGCACAGCGATGAGCACAGCGATGAGCACAGCGATGAGCACAGCGATGAGCACAGCGATGAGCACAGCGATGAGCACAGCGATGAGCACAGCGATGAGCACAGCGATGAGCACAGCGATGAGCACAGCGATGAGCACAGCGATGAGCACAGCGATGAGCACAGCGATGAGCACAGCGATGAGCACAGCGATGAGCACAGCGATGAGCACAGCAATGAGCGTGGAGAGTGGTGCGCAGATCGCTGTGGGCGTGCCTCTGGAATTGCCATTATGCGATTGGTGGTACGGCATCACTCGAGTGCGTGGCGGACAGACAGGTGGGCAACGGCAACACGGCACACGGCAATGCAAGGGCGAGCAGACGACCGGCACTGGGGCCAGCAAGTGGCATCCATTTTCAGGGGCGAGGCGGCAAGACGAGGCAGCACAAGCACAGGCAAGGGAAAGCTGGAGAGGGCAGGCATTGGAAGCAGAGGGAGAGCTCACAGGGGCAGTCGGTGCGCGGGGACGAGCGCAACGAGAGGAAGGGCAGCAGCGAGCCCGCCCAGGCGTCCCGCGCAGTGAGCACGTCCTGCTTGGAGGAGAGGCCGAACACGTCCCTCAGCGTAGCCGCAACCGACGTGTGCTCGAACTGCGACGAGTTGTAGGGGCCGCGCGGCCGGTGGATGACTGCCAGGACAGAGCGGTCGGGACGGAAAGGGTCGGACGGGGAGGGAAGGGTCGGACGGGGAGGGAAGGGTGGATGATGGATGGATTCGGGTGAGGAGGTGCGAAAAGGGCACAGGACATGAGTGCGGAAGAAGTTGCGGCAGTGCGGGGTAGGGTAAGAGGAGGGGCGCGGAAACGATGGGAAAAGAGGATTGATTCCGTCCGCCCTTCATGGCTTCCGTCCCGGTGCTCACCCGTGCCCTTGTCGATCCACGGCGACACGACGAGCGTGGGCACGCGCACGCCCAGACGGCGAAAAAGGAACCCGTCCTCCTCGCCCACGCGGCCGTCGGGGCTGGGCACGCCCGCCATGGGCGGCGCGACGTGGTCGAAGAACCCGCCGTGCTCGTCGTACGTCACGATGAGCAGCGTGCTGCGCCACTGCGGCCCGGCGCGCAGCGCCTCGTACACGGCTTTGATCAGCTGCTGCCCGTGCCGCATGTCGTGCCCGGGGTGGTCGTCGTTGCCCGGCTCCCGCGAGAAGTCGAAGTACTGCGGCTCGATGAACGAGTACGCGGGCAGGCTCCCCACCCGCGCCTGCGCGTAGAACAGGTCGATCGGGCGGAACTTGCGCGCGTGCTTGGACTGGCGCAGCGAGGCGAGGGCGAGCGAGGCGGGGATGTCGTGGAAGTAGACGCCGAACGACACGCCGCGGCGCGCGAGCACGTCAAAGATGGTGCGTGCCTTAAAGCCCAGCAGCAGTATGGCCCGTCGCTCCGCTAGGATCCCCTTGGACGTGGCGGCGTGCAGGAAGAAGCGGTTGGGATGGGTGGGGCCCGGTACTGACGAGAACCAGCGGTCGCACAGCGCGAAGTGCGCCGCCAGCGCGGACGTCACGGGGAGCGCGGCCGGGCGGAAGGCGGACATCACCTCGGCGGAAAATCCCTCGCGCACCTCCTCGCCCTGCTGCGCGAACCCGCCCATTGCTTGGGGGGAGGCCTGGAGGGAAGGCGAAAGGGGGAACGGCGGAGGTGGTGATGCGCCGGGCAGATGGGGAGAACGACCTTTCGGCCCAGGCGCCAGAGCGTGCGTCGGGGGAGGGGAAATGGGGGGAGGAGGGGAAGCGGAAATTGGGGAAGGGAGCTTGCGGGGCGTCGGGGAAGGGAAGGAAGGAGAAGGGACGAAAGGACAGCATGGCAGCAGGATGGGTCGGGGAAACGGCGGACAAGGCGGGGATAGGAGGGCCTGCCGCACCGTTGCGATGGCGCTTCCGCCGAAGATCTGATTGCGCGTGCCCGTGAACGAGTGGTCGGGGTCCTCGCTGTTGTCGTATGGCGCGTTCTCGTTCACGCACACCTGCTCGAACTTCACCTCATCCGAGTCGCTCTCCGCGACGATCGGGTTGCACTCGGTGCCATCCAGACCGTCGATCTCCGAATTCTGCATCCAACCGAACATGTGGTCGAACGAACGGTTCTCCATCATCAGCACCACCACGTTCTTGATGCGCGCCGATGCCGCCACGTGGCAGCTTATTACAAGGCAGAGCAGCGAGAGAGTGGATAGGGAAGCGCCGCGGCGGTAGTGAGAGCACCGCCGCGGCCGCCACTGGTGGGGCATTGCTGAGGTGGCAAAGCGACAGGTGCGTGGTGCTTTGAAAGGGGCGCGTGTGCGGCTCCGCAAGCATTGAAGTTCTGGAGGAATTACGAAACAGAGATGAGTGACAGTGGCGCGTAGAATGACTCATGTGCCAAAAAAATCTCATGTGCTATGTAGTTGCTGCTCGTTTGGCGAAAACCAAGCCCATTCAGAACATGGGAAGACTGCCAAGCCAACACAGAATCCATGGGACGGCCGGGAGGAAGGACCAGGGTGAAGCAAGGAATGCCCCTCGACTGCCGAACAGGGCTCTGGCTAACAGGGTAATTATCCTTAATGTCGTGAAATTAAGAGTTGTTCTCGACCTGATTCCGTTTTTTGCATAGTAAAAGGTTTTTATTCCGCCTGCCTAACGGAATACTCTGCGTGTGATTCCTTGACATTGAGGGCTACTTTTCGTTGATTCCGTACGAAGTGCAATTGCAGTAGGGGATCTGCTCGTAATGGTGTATCACCCCTTCCCACCCTCTCGCCTACTTTTCCCAACTTCCTTCACCCAAGCAAAGCGCGAGGTTAGTTGCTGGGAGTTTTTCTACTCTTTCAACTGCCTCAGGCGGAGTATGCGCGAGAAGCAGTCCCCGGGGATTCGATGGCTTTTCCTTAGCCGTGGCCAAGCCATTTGCCTTCAAGGATGTCACTGTAGTATCAAAACAAGTGTAGCTCTTCGACAAGTCCGATGCTACGGGTAAACTTTCGGCGATTCCGTCCGCTAACCGGTATTTTCGGGGCCGATTCCGTGACCTAACGGAATACCCTAGGCTTAGCAAGAGCCCTGCTGCTGAATGGCAGTGACCAATAGCAGCTGGCCCTCGCACACATGCCGCACTTCCCCTTCCCCCAGGCCCCAACAGTCGAACAAGCAGCAGCTGAAGCCAAGTAAACCACCTCCAGCCGAACTACCTGCCGACAACAGCAGATCGTCAGCTTGCCTCCGCAGCGGAGTTTCAGCCCTGCCCGAAATTGGTACCAACAAATCAGCATTTGTTTCAGACTAGAACAAACCCTTCAATCGATGCTCTGCGTCGGCTACACGACATGGTCGATGCTTTTGCCGCTGGGGGCCATTCATTCCGCCAAGGCCGCCGCTCTCTTACCGGATCGCGCCGCACAGGTACACTCAGGGCCATACGAAAAACGAGCGACCGGGTTGCTTCTTCGTCAAGGTGAATATGTGGCAGGGCCAAGCGCAGACGACAAAGAACGAAGCCGAAGCGTGTGGCGAAACTTTGTGTGTATGACGTGGCGGCGCCACTCTGTTCCACGACTCGTGTATTACCCTCCCCCAGTTGTGATTCCACCACTGGTCCAGCATTTCCGGTATTCGCCACTTCCTAGCGAGTTTTACCATCATACCCGAGGTACTCGTTGTCCAGGTTTGCAATAGGATATTTACATACCTTTGACATGGACGAAGCACTATTGCACAACTCAGAATGCCTCAAGTCCACCCTCCTACTGATGCTTGGCTTGGTATCCTGATGCTATGCCCACACTGTCAAAGAAGGCTAGGTAGCTAGGTAGGTAGCCATGAAAAGTTCGAGAGGTTTAGCCAGGGGGCAGAATTGTCAAGAGAAAAGAGAGTAGATTAGGAAAGAGGAGATACAAGAAGGGGGGGTTGTCCCCTCTACAATAGAATTCAGCAATGTAGCACAACTACCAAGCCTAAACAAATATATATATATAATACATATATAATTCGACATACCCCCTAGGCTTGGTAGTGGGAAGCCCACCCAACTCGAAACACCCTCAAACTCGAGCACTCCCTATATCCTGCAGCAGGTGGGGCTGCTACCCCTCGTGCGAAACGGTAACACTCCCGACGGGTGGCGGCAACAACGTTAGCAGCGGCTCCTACGACGACGACAGTGGAGGGGCGGCGGCGGCGTCGACGACGACGGTGACGACTGCGAAGCTCGCGGCGCCCGGCGGTATGGCACGGCCCGGCAACGACCGGGAAGAGACTCATCAGCTGCGGCTGGAATGAGGGGTGGCGCAGGGGAGGGAGCGTGGCTTCAGCGAGATGCCCTGGCTGGTGCGCTGGCTGTCGAGCGGGCGAGCTGGCTTGCGCTTAACGCAGTGCGCGGCCCGCTGCCGCCCGTGCGCTGACGCATCGACACCGCCACGGCGGTACGACGAAGCCGTCACGGCGTGGCGTCGATGCCACGCCAGCAGGTTGAGGCTGCCACGGCAGCACGACGACGCCGCCATTGCATGGTATCAACGCCACGGCAGCACGTCGAGGCTGCCACGGCAGCACGACGAAGCCGCCATGGCAGCACGACTTGGCCGCCACGGCGGCGCGGAAGTGACGAGACGGGGGAGAGTACGCTGCGTAAGCATGATGAGACGGCCCAATAGGACGGACCTCCTGCTCTGAAACGATATCAACGAAGGCTAGGTAGCTAGGTAGGTAGCCATGAAAAGGTCGAGAGGTTTAGCTAGGGGGCAGAATTGTCGAGAGAAAAGAGAGTAGACTAGGAAAGAGAAGGAGATACAAGATTGGGGGTTGTCCCCTCTACAGTAGAATTCAGCAATGTAGCACAACTTCCAAGCTTAAACAAATATTTATATAATATATATAATTCGACACACACGCCCTCCTCCCGATTTGGATACCCATCTGTTCATCCTGCCGTGCACCAGACTTGGCTGTTGGGAGATAGTTTCCGCCCCCCTTGAATCTTATCCCTGCTATTTGTGTCAAACTTATCGTGTATATGTCTTATAGGCTAGATAGGTGCGTACTCTTAGAGGGTACAACCCCTTAGACAAAACCACATTGTCTGCCTCATTCTAGTCATTCTATATAACGTTGATATGGTATCACGCTAGGTTAGGTCCCCCCCACCCACCCGCGTTTCCGCCTTAGGCCTAGTCCTAGCCGCCCGTTCCTAGCCGCCTGTACCTAGCTTCTCGTCGCTAGCTGCCCGTTTTGAGCCGCCCATTTTGAGCCGCCCGTAGCTAGCCGTCCGTAGCTCTGCGCCTACTGGCCCCGAGTTTACCGGCCCCGCGGCTCTAGTCCCGCATTCGCCAGCCCCGCACCTGCTGGCACCGAGCTCGCCAGCCCCCTGCCTGCTAGCCCCGCGCCCGCTCACCCAGTGCTCGCCGGCCCCGCGCTCGCCAGCCCCGCGCCCGCTGACTCCATGCCTGCTGGCCCCACACCCGCTCGCCCGCGCTCGCTGGCCCCGTTTTCGCCTGCCCCGCACCTGCCTGCCCCGTGCCCGCCAGCCCCGCGCCCGCTGGCTCCATGTTCGCCAGCCCCGTTCCCGTCGGCCCCGCGCTCGCTGACCCCGTGCCTGCTGGCCCCACACCCGCTCGCCCGCGCTCACTGGCCCCGCTTTCGCCTGCCCCGCACCTGCCTGCCCCGTGCCCGCCAGCCCCGCGCCCGCTGGCTCCATGTTCGCCAGCCCCGTTCCCGTCGGCCCCGCGCTCGCTGACCCCGTGCCTGCTGGCCCCACACCCGCTCGCCCGCGCTCACTGGCCCCGCTTTCGCCAGCCCCGCGCCCGCCAGTCCTGTGCCCGCCAGCCCAGTGCCCACCAGGCCCACGCCTGCTAGCCCCGTGTTTGCCAGCTCCGCGCCCGCCAGCCCTGTGCCCGTCGGCCCCGCGCTGGCCAGCCCGCGATTCCGGCCCCGCACCTGCCGGCCCTGCACTTGCTCGCCCCGCGCCTGCTGGCCACGACTTCGCCAGCCTCTGTCCTCTTGCCCCTGCGCTCGCCAGCTCCGCACCCGCTAGCCGATGCCGCAGTGTAGAGCCGCCACGCCGCAGTACCGCCGTACGGATGTACCACCGTGCTGCCGTGGAACCGCGCCACCGTGGCGCCGTGCCATTGTGTCGCCGTGCCGCTGTGTCGCCGTGCCACCGTAACGCCGTGGCGCCGTGCCGCTGTGTCGTCATGTCATCGTGCCACCGTGTAGCTGAACTCGTGGGATGGTGGACGCTGTGCTCCGCCTAAACGCGGAGGGGCAGGCGATCGACTTTGAGGCGTGGCTTGTTGACCTACGCCGTCACCTTACAGGTCAGCGCTAGGACGTTCAACTCCCTGGTTGTTCATGTCAATGGCCTGCTTCTCCGCCCCACTGCGCCTGTTGCCCTCCCTGACGCCCCCACCACTGCTGAGCATGAGGCCTTTTCCGCTGCTGCACTTGCTCGCGCTGTCTGGGAGTCGCGCGACGCTGTTATGCAGCTTGATATTAGTTATGCACTTCCCCTGTCTGAGCGTCCCCGATTTACCTCTATAGCGAACGCCCAGAAATTCTTAGATGCAGTCATCGCGCGCTATTCCACTCCCGCCTCGGCCTCTAAAGGCCGCCTGATCCTTCCCATGCTGTTCCCTGATCTCGCGTTCTTCCCCACTGTTGCCGATCTTCCAACTCACCTCCGCGCACTTGAGACTTGCTATTGTGCCGCTAGCACTGAGGCTCAGCTCACTTCCTTTCCGCCGCCGCTCTGCGCTACCCTTTACCTCATTGCCGCGTGACTCCCCGACCGCCTAGCCACTGCTCGCGACCACTTCCTTAGTCAGCACCCGGGTGACCTCACCCTCCCCGCCTTTATCACAGCCCTGTCTGTAATAGAGACCCGCCAACGCACTATCGCTCAATCTAGCGGTACTGTGTCGGTCCCTATCTTTCAAGCTGTGCTCCCTCCCAGTGCTCTTACTCTGACGTCTCTACCGCTGTTGCTGAGACCGCCGCCGCGTCCGGGTAGGGGCCGCCGCCCCAAGGGCGGGCATGGTGGAGGGAAGGGGGGTGGGGGTGGGGAGGGTGGAGGAGGTGGGGGCGGGGACGGTGGTTTGGACGGGGCGATCGGGGCTGGTGCCTTGGAGCAGCAGAAGCAGCAGCCGCAGCCTCAGCAGCAGCAGCCACAACAGACTCGATAGCAGCCGCAGCAGCAGTCGCTAGAGGGATCCCCGCTGCCGTGGTGGACAGGCGGCGCGTGTGGCGGTGGTCGTGGTGGTGGGGGGCGCAGCTCAGTATCAGGTGGCGACTCCAGTGCGCTCACTTGTCAGTACTAGCTTCAGATCGGCCCCCGCCGTGGCACCGTCTACAACCGTTCCAGCCACACCGTCACTCGCTGCTACCACCGCGTGGACGACCTCTTCCGTGACAGCTTCCGTCCCACACCGGACC